TAATCTTAATGTCTCAGTGTCTAGATTAATTGTTGTTATAAAGTGAATTTAAAAACAAAAATGTCGCTACAGCTGTACAGGCTTAACTTTTGTGGGGAACTGTCCTTCAGATATAAATCTGTACCCAACAATATGTCTGGAGTCATGGTGGTGTACAGTCCTCACATGACAGCTACGACCAAAAAAAAAGAAAAAAATTGTACTTGTAAAATATAATGACAAGCTATCTCTTGTAAATATGCCTTGCTCAAATTTTAGTGGGTCGTAAATTGATGTGTTGATTCACACAAATAAATCAATTTTAATGGAAAATTCTGCAAAATGCAAGTATATGAGAATGAGTTATTCTTAAAATGAAATCCTTTGTTACTACAATATAAAAGATAAACACCAGGAGCAAAGATTGCAAAGATAAAAACATCAGAGATGTCTAAAATAAGAACTAAATGATAACAAAAGGCAGAGAGAGAGAAAGAGAATAAAAATATGGTAGTCGGTTAGGAAGAAATTTCAGCAAAACAGAGATAACACAAAATAATTTTGCCTTCAAAACAAATCAGAGAAGAAGAATAAATGTCAGTTAAACCACCAGATCAACCCCCACCCCCAAAAGAATTAAAAAAACAATACTAATAATAAAAGTCAGTGTTAAAACATCGAGGTAAAAAAAAATGACTGTAGTCTACCTAGCTGTAGTAAATGGAGAACTGCGGTTGTCGTAACATGTGTACCGGTGTTCAGCAAAGGCTTTGCCAACATTTTGTAATGTGGTCTAGAAAAAAGGGGGAAATTCTTACAACACAATACTCTTTGTAGCGATTCTCTCCACGTGACAGCTGGGAATCTTGATAGTAATGCCAGTCTGTGTTTTTTGGTGTGTTCCAGAGTTTATTGTATAAAAAGTGTATTAATACAGCAACCCCTCTTGTTTTATTATCTGTTCCAGAGGCAGATTGACAAATTGACAGGCCCCGAGTAACACAGGGTTTGCCATGAACAGAACAAGTAAGACTGCAATGACACCGACTACCAACTTCTCCAAGTGCGCACGATAAAAATATGCTTGTATTCACCAAACAGAAAAAAAAACATCAGGAAAGATAATTAAAAGAAATCTAATTTTCCTTGTTATAACGACGTGGTGTGTTTTGCTGCTTGTAAAGATATACACATGTTCAATATTTGCTTTCTACCAAATTCTGTGTTGTATACACCTGCAGAGGAACGCCGTGACACAACAGATACCAAACCCAACATAAACCCGGTAAGTAATGACACGGCTGCTGAACTCGAACTGTAAACCCACAGAGGTAAAAAGTCAGTTAGTGAGGCACCATTGACACGTTTCATCTACGTCAGAAGTGAAACAATACACGTGTAATTCCTACAGTAATGAGGGTGCATTGTCGGGCAGATATCATAAACTATGTATAGCTGCAAATACACGCCATGCTGATACTTCTGTCGATAATAATTATTTCCAAGTGTGTATTTCTATCTCATCCAGGTGTTTTCACACTTTTTAATCGATTTCCAGGCCATTCTTACTCCCTTTGTTATGTTTTAGATTGCTAGATGATCCGTCGGCTGCTGGGCTGATTACTGCACCACATGTATGTACCCATTGTTTGTATACCTGCTCCGACTTCGCCGTTTCTATTTTTGCAATGTTTACCCAATGAACCATTTCAATCATGTCTTGAAAAGTACGTAACTAATTTGAAATATGTCGGCTTGTGCCACGATTTGCCCTCCAACACAAAGACTAACATCTATATATAAAAAAATCTTCATGCAGATTTGAATAATCGTTGTCATCATATAGAGATAAATGGATGTTTCATATGTGTTTGGTACCAATACGCAAACAGTTCTTGTAGCAATGAGTCCATGTGTTTGTAATTTTAATGATAGCGTTGGTAGGGTTTGATTTCTAGTGTTGGTGAGGACTTGGTTCCAGTGTTAGTGAGGATTTAGTTCTAGTGTTGGCGAGATTTTAGTTCTAGTGTTGGCGAGATTTTAGTTCTAGTGTTGGCGAGATTTTAGTTCTAGTGTTGATGAGATTTTAGTTCTAGTGTTGATGAGATTTTAGTTCTAGTGTTGATGAGATTTTAGTTCTAGTGTTGATGAGATTTTAGTTCTAGTGTTGGCGAGGTTTTAGTTCTCGTGTTGATGAGATTTTAGTTCTAGTGTTGGCGAGGTTTTAGTTCTAGTGTTGGCGAGGTTTTAGTTCTAGTGTTGATGAGATTTTAGTTCTAGTGTTGGCGAGGTTTTAGTTCTAGTGTTGATGAGATTTTAGTTCTAGTGTTGATGAGATTTTAGTTCTAGTGTTGATGAGATTTTAGTTCTAGTGTTGATGAGATTTTAGTTCTAGTGTTGGCGAGATTTTAGTTCTTGTGTTGAGGAGATTTTAGTTCTAGTGTTGATGAGATTTTAGTTCTAGTGTTGATGAGATTTTAGTTCTAGTGTTGATGAGATTTTAGTTCTAGTGTTGGAGAGGTTTTAGTTCTAGTGTTGATGAGATTTTAGTTCTAGTGTTGATGAGATTTTAGTTCTAGTGTTGATGAGATTTTAGTTCTAGTGTTGATGAGATTTTAGTTCTAGTGTTGGCGAGATTTTAGTTCTAGTGTTGATGAGATTTTAGTTCTAGTGTTGATGAGATTTTAGTTCTAGTGTTGGCGAGGTTTTAGTTCTAGTGTTGATGAGATTTTAGTTCTAGTGTTGGCGAGGTTTTAGTTCTAGTGTTGGCGAGGTTTTAGTTCTAGTGTTGATGAGATTTTAGTTCTAGTGTTGATGAGCTTTTAGTTCTAGTGTTGATGAGATTTTAGTTCTAGTGTTGATGAGATTTTAGTTCTAGTGTTGATGAGATTTTAGTTCTAGTGTTGATGAGATTTTAGTTCTAGTGTTGATTTTAGTTCTAGTGTTGATGAGATTTTAGTTCTAGTGTTGATGAGATTTTAGTTCTAGTGTTGATGAGATTTTAGTTCTAGTGTTGATGAGATTTTAGTTCTAGTGTTGATGAGATTTTAGTTCTAGTGTTGATGAGATTTTAGTTCTAGTGTTGATGAGATTTTAGTTCTGAGGTTTTAGTTCTAGTGTTGATGAGAGTGTTGAGGTTTTAGAGATTTTAGTTCTCTAGTGTTGTGTTGATGAGATTTTAGTTGAGATTTTAGTTCTAGTGTTGATGAGATTTTAGTTCTAGTGTTGGCGAGGTTTTAGTTCTAGTGTTGATGAGTTTTTAGTTCTAGTGTTGATGAGATTTTAGTTCTAGTGTTGTTGAGTTTTTAGTTCTAGTGTTGATGAGATTTTAGTTCTAGTGTTGATGAGATTTTAGTTCTAGTGTTGATGAGGTTTTAGTTCTAGTGTTGATGAGATTTTAGTTCTAGTGTTGGCGAGGTTTTAGTTCTAGTGTTGATGAGATTTTAGTTCTAGTGTTGGCGAGATTTTAGTTCTAGTGTTGATGAGATTTTAGTTCTAGTGTTGGCGAGATTTTAGTTCTAGTGTTGATGAGATTTTAGTTCTAGTGTTGGCGAGATTTTAGTTCTCGTGTGTTGATGAGATTTTAGTTTAGTGTTGGCTAGTGTTGGCGAGGTTTTAGTTTTCGTGTTGATGAGATTTTAGTTCTAGTGTTGATGAGATTTTAGTTCTAGTGTTGGCGAGGTTTTAGTTCTAGTGTTGATGAGATTTTAGTTCTAGTGTTGGCGAGGTTTTAGTTCTAGTGTTGGCGAGGTTTTAGTTCTAGTGTTGATGAGATTTTAGTTCTAGTGTTGATGAGATTTTAGTTCTAGTGTTGATGAGATTTTAGTTCTAGTGTTGGCGAGGTTTTAGTTCTAGTGTTGATGAGATTTTAGTTCTAGTGTTGATGAGATTTTAGTTCTAGTGTTGATGAGATTTTAGTTCTAGTGTTGGCGAGATTTTAGTTCTAGTGTTGGCGAGGTTTTACTTCTCGTGTTGGCGAGATTTTAGTTCTAGTGTTGATGAGATTTTAGTTCTAGTGTTGATGAGATTTTAGTTCTAGTGTTGGCGAGATTTTAGTTCTAGTGTTGGCGAGGTTTTAGTTCTAGTGTTGGCGAGGTTTTAGTTCTAGTGTTGGCGAGATTTTAGTTCTAGTGTTGGCGAGGTTTTAGTTCTAGTGTTGGCGAGATTTTAGTTCTAGTGTTGGCGAGGTTTTAGTTCTAGTGTTGATGAGATTTTAGTTCTAGTGTTGATGAGATTTTAGTTCTAGTGTTGGCGAGATTTTAGTTCTAGTGTTGGCGAGATTTTAGTTCTAGTGTTGGCGAGATTTTAGTTCTAGTGTTGGCGAGATTTTAGTTCTAGTGTTGGCGAGGTTTTAGTTCTCGTGTTGATGAGATTTTAGTTCTAGTGTTGGCGAGATTTTAGTTCTAGTGTTGGCGAGTTCTAGTGTTGGCGAGATTTTAGTTCTAGATTTTAGTGTTGATGAGGTTTTAGTTGAGATTTTAGTTCTAGTGTTGGCGAGGTTTTAGTTCTCGTGTTGGCGAGATTTTAGTTCTAGTGTTGGCGAGGTTTTAGTTCTAGTGTTGATGAGATTTTAGTTCTAGTGTTGGCGAGGTTTTAGTTCTAGTGTTGGCGAGGTTTTAGTTCTAGTGTTGGCGAGATTTTAGTTCTAGTGTTGATGAGATTTTAGTTCTAGTGTTGGCGAGGTTTTAGTTCTAGTGTTGGCGAGATTTTAGTTCTAGTGTTGGCGAGGTTTTAGTTCTCGTGTTGATGAGATTTTAGTTCTAGTGTTGGCGAGGTGTTAGTTCTCGTGTTTTCGAGGTTGTAGTTCTAAAGTTGTCAAGGTTATAAATTCTTGTTGGCAGAGATTCAGTTCTAGTAATGGTGATGTGTTAGTTGTAGTGTTTAAACGGTTTAGAAGACATTTATTACTAACAGTAAAACATCGGGTTGGTAGACTTGTTCTAAATTATGATGTTAGGAAAGATAGAGAAAATCTTAACCTATTTTCATTTTTTATGGTAGTTTATAGTAGTTGTCCTTACCTGGTCCAGCTTGCATTCATCGTTGCAGAAAAGAGATCTATCTCTGGAAGTGATAGTCTGAAAATATATAAATATAATTTGTAAACCATAGGTCATGGCAGGATGTAGTCCGACAGTGAGAATTATAAAGACGAAAAAATACGAAAAAATAAAGATGAAATCACGCCATTTATTGAATGTTTAACGCCGTACAACTATATGAAATATTGTTCTGAAACAGTACAGCTTGAATTTCATCTTGTTAGTTAATAAGTGTATTTCTTTCTTCTGTAAATAATGTGGAACACAGGAGTTTGTTTTTAACGTATTTCCCCGTCAAAAATGATGATATATTTTCCACAACATGCTGTATTCGCTTTATAGATGTTAAGCAGTTTACATGTAGGTTCTCTACAATCGACACTTTTCTCAACCCAAAGTCGTATCAGTGACCAAACGTTACTTGACCCCTACACGTTTCAGTCCATGACCGCGACGCTACCGTAAGATTAAATCATGTCAGGTGCACGACAGCACGGGTAAACCTCTAAAGGGTTTAATAGACGTCACGCGCACGACACCACGGGAAATCCTCTAAAGGATTTAATAGACGTCACGCGCGAGAAACTACCGGGTAGACCTCTACAGTATTAACTCCGTGTTAATGAAAAATTTTCATTGGTAAAATATGATAAGTATTGTTCAAGGATACGAGATTCTGATGGAAGAGTAAATCAATTGAAAATCGTGTTTATTTACAGACAAACACTTAATTGTGATTGTTTTAGAATTGCACATTGTAAGTAGACTCTCGAGTATCATACAGCTGAGCAAGGCCGACATCTTGGCTCGTGCACGACGGGATGAAGAAATGTGAACGTCATTTAAATACCGTAATGACACACACACGGATTCTTTAAGTAGTCATTCTTAGACTGACACATGCGGGTCGCTTCTTGTCTTGGACGATATATAAAACGTATGACGTCACAATGTCTATACATCAGGTGGCCTGTACATGGGTCTGTAATAACGTCATATAGTCGGAAAGCTTCATTCCGCACGCCTCGACCATGTATAAAACAACCGTACAATATTAACTTAACGCCAATCATTGCAATATCAGCTTTACAGGGGAAATGTAACGCGGACTCCGAGCCGGGGCTAACAAACTTTAGATGGACGCTCGGAGCCGTGCGTTCTGCACCTAGTGGAGTATTTTTGTCTAAAAAACAATACTTAAACACTTCCCCGTTTCTGAGTATCCCCTACCAAAAACACCGACAATGGTTTATCAAGGGTACCTATTTACATATTGTAAAAAAGTGAGTGGAACTTAGCGGGACTCTAACTTAACATATCCCACTAAAGTGGACGTCACCCAGACCAGTCCCGCTAAACAAAAACCGGCATGTTAACCTTATGATAGCCAAAAGAATTTCAGCTTACCATCACCATGGCAATATCATCTTTATAATAACCATGACAATGTCATCTTTATAATTACCATGGCAATATCACCTTTATAACAATACCGGAAACTGTTGAACACAGGTTGTGTAAAAATAACGTGTGTAGCAAATATGGCTTAGGAAAGTCTTAGAGTACATTACCAGATTCCATTTTAACGATACCACGTGGATTCGTGAGAAAAAATGTCGTTAAAACCGAATCCTTTATACCAAGGTATAAACTGACGTCATGAGCGTGACACACCTATTTACAAACTAATGTGATGGTTTACCACTACTATTACACTTTTCTTGTACATTTATAAGAGTGCAACACACTAATTCACTGGCGTGATGAATTCCTAACAAGCCGAGTACCCCCATCATTCTGTGTTCGCGTGAGTTTGTCGCCTGGTATCGGTAATGTTAATAGAGAATGTCGGAGACTACATTTTACTGACGCCAGTTTAAGACATAGTGTTTGACGTTCATGGTATGAAGGCCCAGTAACCGTCCTAAGGCTCTCTCATTACAGATTCAATATCTGTGAGCGAGCACTCCACGCACCCTTCTCCTGCTCCTAAGCTGTTGTCTGCATGACGCATGGTTCGTCGTCAACTTCGTGGTCACAGAGAGTTTTCCTTGTTACATATACACATAATAAACAGTCATTTTGTTTCTGTTTCTGTGGCGTAATAGTTTTATGGTCCGACCTTTGGTAATTACTCGAAAATTTGAGTGCGACTATCGCTTGTCAATTGGGTAACACTTTTGTCACCTCTTTGTGAAATACTGTCACTCGCGCCGCCTATACATTCTGGAAACAATCTATTAAAGCACAAGAGGAGATAATCCCATCAAGTACGACCAGTTGGCGTAATTTTATTTAGGCCCTTCACAGTTCTATTCCGAGATTTAGATTCTTTGCAGTAACGTACTTAGCCAGACAATGTGATCACCACCTGTCACTCATAATACACCTATTGACCACACCGATGTTAAGGAAACAAAAACACGCGGAAGAAAATGATCTTCGAAAAACAAGCGTTCCGCTCTGAATACGAAGTCTCTTCATCAATGAATGTCTTCTCTCAGTGGAAAGTACTAACAATGCATACCAGAGATACTGTCGAAACAGAAAAAAATATGTGTACTTTGTGCTCAACGGGGTCTAATCTGCTGGTTCTTTACGGGTGACGTGAAACTTGTAACGGATGTTGAAATTTGTTTGTTTTTAATTCGCTACATTGTAACGGACCTCGTAGTAAAACGCTAACATGTCATGCGGTGAAGCAAAAGACGCTTACACTTCCTAAACATCTGGTATATTTCTCCTACTTTTTCGTGAATCTCCGTGTAAATATTTCTTTTGTTCATATTTTGTCATAGTTTCATTGAATTTACTTCCTTTGTTGTCTTGCCACGAACGTTGTAATTCTTTAACTTGTAACGGACGTTGTTATTCACTAGCACAGCTTATTGACAGTGATTAATATATATACGTGTAGTTATGACAAGTATAAGGCGCAAGTCATCACAACTTAATGACGACAATATGTAGAAATACTTGATAAGCTGACATAGAAAATGAATTCTCCGTACCTAGATTTGACAAACAATAAAACAAAACACAAACCGTCTCTGCACATAGTTTTTGTACACAGGTGTGTATACATTGTATCAGGTGAAGACGTCATTGGGGAGGGACACGTCACATTTCTACGCGCGTACCTATATTGTATGGGTAGATGTGTAATAAAGGAACAGCGACCCTGGGTGCATCGTCCTGTACAGACCAGTATTACATTTGTAGAAATGAAAGAATGATAAGTATATAAAAAAACAGGTTATTACAACTTAATGATATAGAAATACTTTATGACAGTGATATATAGGAACACTTAATGATGTCTGTATATAGGAATCATAAGTATAAGACAGATCATCACAACTTCATGACTACAGACGTCGTTATAAATCATTTCGCACCCATATTGCATTCATATTGAGAATAAATCAATCTTACCGACGTTCAATTGTTATATTTACATGTTGGATATTATTCAAAACATTATCCTGTCTTTTTTCTAAGTTAAAATTGTTTTCGTCGCTTTGTGTTTACACACTGGAAAAGCAGTTTGAAAATGGTTTGAAAGATTTACGTAAAGCGTAGTGTGGTCGTCTTACAGGACCCGACGAATTGTCAGATATATTCATAAAACATATTTTGCTCAGAATTGAAGAAAACAAAACAAGAAAAAAACATACTGAGGTCATATTGCCGTGGTTCGATAATGTAGTGAAATAACGGACATCCTGCTAATATCGACACCGTCATCTTAGTTCCGTAAACATGCAACTTCCGACACCGTCTAGGCCGAACCGTCTCCTAAGAGACAGACCACGGGTAGTGCTGTGTTCTTTAGTTACTTATTCTCGATCCGGAACACGTCCATTATCTGAACAGCATGTGACAGTTTTCTCATACAGCTGCCTTTCACTAATGCATCCGAGATTTAACGAATTCAGAATTACAACATTATTCACAGCTACCAGAATAATTATACAATTAGTTACAATTAATCAGAAATAACACATCATATATTATTATATCGTAACTTAGTCACATTTAGTTACAATTAACGATTTTTAGTTACGTCTTCACGAATAGTCCTTCATATCATAACATTGATATATGTCTAATTAACTTGTGGTATATTGACGGTAGATAACACAAACACAAAATAGTACAGGAAATGTGAGAAATCTAAGCAAAACAGGTGACAAATTGAAAAGCGGTCTCGTTTATAGAACAGGCGGCAGTAGAGACGTTTAAAAACATATACAAATATCGAATAGCTGTTTTACTTTTTAACCCACATTTGAGTTTAAATGAAGAGTAATTGTCCACAGAAAAGATAGGGGATGTAAATTCAATCTGATGATCTAGGACCAGCAGACGCCTGAACGCAGAATAACATTCCGTCTCCCAACCTCAAATCACTCACGGCAGAGTAATGCAAGTTTTTCGAGCTCTGTTTACACGGTTACATGTAAATTTCGTAATGTGTTTATTCCTCTTCAAACCCTGGGGACAATTGTATAGCTAGGGACAAAATGTTCTTCGTTATGGGTTAAATTCTACAGAAATTGTTTCATATCTTCTATTTTTCATGATTTGATGTCTTGTTGTACCCCGTCGGATCTTGTTTTCGGGCCGAACTTTCATGTGCGTCTACCCACAAATACCACACAGTGTCACCCCGACCATACTGACCCTTTACAATGTGACTTGTGGCCGGCGAAAATCACTGAGGTCATGGGTAATGAAAACACCATTTATCCGTGGGAAAATATTTCTCGTGAAAACACGAAAATTTTACAAACAGTTTGCAGCTTGATTCCAAAGGAACCCATGTAGATAGTGCTATGTACGATTCAAGATTCAAAACAACTTCAAACGTTTGTTTTTAATTAGAGTGCACTTTGTCGGCAGGTGGAGGCTGATTCCATCTCCAGACTAAGTTTGGGCTCGAGAAAAACCAACAAACTGTTGCTGACCATTCCCGCGGGCAGGAGTCGTGTCGAAATATTTATTTACTTAAAATGAAACGTGAGCCGATTACG